ACATGCAACTAATACTATTATCTTACTCTCAATAGAAGTATTCACCTAACAAAAGTATATGTCAATTGTATGGAGTTAATTAATTATTCTGATGGTGTGAATTGTATTAGTCTCTTAATAATTATCATAGATTGAAAAAGACATTTCTTTCAAGTTTTCATCAAATATATTGTATAAGTTTTATCTATATGAACTATATTGAGCTTTATTGTTGATGAGCCTATAAGGAAGAATGTTTGGCTCTTGAGTGGTTATGTCAAGTATTAAGTATGCATATATAATATATATTCGATATACGAATAATTACTTAATTGGTTAATTTGGTTTGACTTGTTAGTATTGTCTGAAACCAAACAAAACCACCTAAACCAAACAACCTAAATTTTTTAACCAAACCAAACAAATTATCCAAATTAACCAAACCAAATTAGCCAAATACTACCGATTAAAAAGTTACCACGGTAACCACACCGTTTGAACACCATTCCTCCTGGCTCTTAGCGACCCCACCCTCTTGGCTCGACCTCCTCGCTTACACTGGCCGCCTCCCCCATTCCTCCTTCCACCGCTGACAACCTTTGTTGCTCTCACGGGTAGAGACAACTGGGGACCAGATCATGTCAGTATCTTTGCTATCAGTAATTGTCAGTAATCCAATGATCTGTCCCCACGTGTCAGCTTTTTCTTTTTATTTAAATTAAACACGGAGGGGCACTAAGGTAAAATTGCACCCTCTATTTAATGATCCGCTGACGCGCTGAGGCTGACGGTGACTTTTTGACCAGACGCGGATCCCACTCCCCCACCACACACTGGTTGTCTGGTTCCCCCTCTCTCTCACTCTTTGTTTTATTTTATTATTAAAAGAAAAAATATATTATTTCTTCTCTCTCCCATCTACAACAAAAATGAATCTAACCATCCTAACTATCTCTAAACTATTTCCAGCTCAAATTGAATGATGATTTTTTCGTTAAATAATACATTGTTAAAGACACTAATTACAAGTATAAATATGATTATCACTTTCTACTATCATGGTAAAACATGGTAAAATATATTGAAGAAAATTACAATTCTAACTACCATACAATACCACATGGTAAAACGTGGTAAAATATGTTGAAGAAAATTAAAAATCTAACTACCATACAATACCACATGGTATAACGTGGTAAAACATTCTACAGAAATTTACAAATCTAATTACCATACCATACCATATGGTATAACATGCTAAAATAAAATTACAAATCAAACTACCACCACATGGTATAACTTGGTAAACCACGCTACAAAAAATTATAAATCTAACTAGCATACAATACCACCATAGTAGAACATGGTAAATCAAAGGACCACAAATTAATTATAATTACCATATAATACCACATGGTATGAGAAGGTAAAACCATGTAAATCTAATTACAACCCTCTACGACCATAGTAAAAACATGATATTCATAAAAATACATTTCGTTACCACACATTACCATATGATATATACACGTTACATATGGTATAGTGTGGTAATCTCAATATATATATATATATACGACTTTCTTCTCTCCCTTCATTGTCTTCTAACTCTTCTTTCTCGGAACTGGTGTCGATTACCACCCACTACCACCATGATAAAACTCGTGACTATAAAAATACATTTAGTTAGCACACATTACCATATGGTATAGTGTGGTAATATCAATATATATTCTCAAAGAAGGGGAAACAAAAGGAGGAAGAGAGAAAAAAAAATGCGTCTTCTGTCTCCTCTCATTTACTCCTCCGCAATCAAGAACACCAAATGCAAAAAGAAAGAAAAAGAGGAACAAGATCGGAATTAATTCACAAACTGTTTACACCTAAAATATTTTGGCCTAAATTCAATGACGTAATAATGAGTCTCGACATTTAATTCGATATCGCATGGCCAAAATGATGTCGTTTGGAGTCGAGCAATACCGTGGAGAATTTAAGCGAGACCGCGAAGAGGCTCGGCGGTACCGCGGTACTTGAAATGACATTGGTTGCAGACCATGTGTGAGTCATGCGCAGGACATGTGTTGCTGTTGGACAAGGAATGTTTTTATTTTATTTTTCTTTGTCGGAGGAGGAGGAGGAGGAGGAGGGTAACAACACCGTTTGGAGTCAAGCAATGATGTGAAGAGATAAAACGGTGTCGCGAACCTCAAAGCTCAACGGCATCGCGAGACTGGGAAACAGTGTCGTTTGGCTAAAAACGACACTGTGACAAGCGGTATCGCGGTGAGTTAAAACGATACCGCGAAATAAAACACGGTACCGCAAGGAAGCTCACCGGTACCGCGGCACTGGAAACGACACTGTTTACCAGAAAACAGGATGGGGGCCGCGCGCGTAGTGTTGGCATTGGAAAATGAGTTGTTATTATTATTATTCCTTGTCGGAAGGGGAGAAGCGGTACCGCATGGAGACAAGCGGCATCGCGGAGAATTAAAACGGTACCGCGGATGTAAAAACGATGTCGAGGGAGGCCTTGATAAGCGGTGCCGATTAAATAAAAAAAAATCATATCGGGTAAGTGAAGGGCCTAAATTCCGCCCACCCCAATGCGAGTGAAAACTCTCGGCGGTTCAATGAATTGGAATTTTTTGGCTATGTTAGCGGTGTCATTTAATTAAAAACGGTATCGCGAGTAAGCCCAACGGTACCGCTGTATTAGCAGACGATAGTGTTTAATATAAAACAATGTCGTGGAGTAAAAAAGCAAACAGAGCTGTTTGGGGAAGAAAACAACATTGCGTAAGATTCACACCAACCCGAGCGAGGATGAGATCAAGACGGTTGAGACACGTGGGAGTTCACAACGGAGCAGTTGAGGAAGCGGTTCCACCTAGCGTGAAGACTACGAAGCGGTTTTTCGAATAAAAGCAGTGGAGCAAGGAGAAAGAAAAGGGAACCAAATCAACACAGAAACACATCTATCAAACTTTACCTTTTTTTCTCTGAAACTCCTTCGCGGAGCTCTCCTTCCAGGAAGGATCTCCATAGTTGTAGTCTTAGTCGTAGTCGCGGAGCTCTCCACAAGAATCTCCATAGGAGTAGCGGTAGCGTAGATTCCTCAAAACTCAAACACCCTCGTTCGAACGTAGTTTGGAGAGGTGTGAACCGTACTAATGGTCGTTCTTGGTTAGAAGTCAGAGGTGCATCGATCAAATTAACACCGCCTGGCGGTGGATATTTGACGGTCACGTTGATTTCACCATTCAGAGGTGCATCAACCAAATCAACATCGCCCGTCGCCAGGCGGTGGATATTTGACGATTGTCTCGATTTCATCAATTAGCGGTGCATCCAATCAAACGGCACCGCAAGAGTTTCCATCGCGAAACATCGAATCAACATCCTCGGAAACCAAATTCGGCACCGGTGGTGGTATTTGATTTTCCTGAGGAAACACAAAAAAATACTAAAACACAAAAGATGCAAACTCAACTCACCTAGATCTGTCACATCTTTGACAATATGGAGCATCATCGATTTTGAGGCCGAGAAAAGAAAAAAACAGAAGGAAGGAGCAGCTTGAGAAAAGAAGGATTTGGAGCGTCATCGAATTTGAGGTGGGAGGCTGCAATTTCTTCATCGATTATTGGAGAAAAAAAATTAAGAACAAGGAAGAAAGGAGATTTAGATCTAGAAAAAGGAGTTTGGAAGAGAGAAAGAGAAAAGAGAGAAGAAGAAAGAAGTATGCTTTTCTCTTTCCTCCATTAAAAGACAAACATATAAATGCTGGAAAAATAAAAAAAGGAAAGAAATCAAATTTCAAAAATCGGACAAAAATGCCCCTCCTCACTCCGCGTGCAGCTCAACCATATAATAATGTCATCCCTAAATCTACGGTCCGGATTTAATACTTACAGGTCAGTAACCATTGGTTACTAACTCTATCCTCTGCCGAGACAACTGTACTACAAAAGATTATATTCTTCTGAGTCTCGCTTGGGTTTCGTTAGTCGATCAGATATTGACATTTTGTCCTAAGAACCAATGGGTAAATAATCTCAAGAACCGCTTAGTCCCAATAATTCGAGCTGTTGAAAGAATGTTAATTATATATCTTTTTTCATTTTCTTACACATATTCTCAAACGAAAGCCAACTCACAGGATTGAAGTGTGTACATGCACACCATACATTGTCCTCAATTATATGTCAATATTGGGGTCATGGATATTCAAACACACAAACAACTATGTTATCATGTCATAAATAAGTTGGTTTCAATTAGTGGCAGAACCAAAATCTTGACGGGGTGGTTTAAAAAATATCAACTCAATAGATTTGAAATGTGGTAATTGGAGAGGGGGGGGGGGGTTAAAGCCTTGGCAACGACCTTATTTTTCAAATTTGTTATTAAAATTACTTATAATTTTACCTACTTTTTGAAAGTTACACTGGTTTCAAATGGGTTCTTGACATGTTCAGGTACTATGATGACCGAGATGTCTATGTTCGAAATTCCAGTGACCTCATGTGTTAAGCACATGGTATTCAGACTTTTGTATGTGTCAACCTTATATGAGTTAACTTTCATTTGAAAGAGCTTAAGTAAACTGTATAAGATTTATAATTGAAACTCTTTCAACAACTCGAATTGTTGTTACTAAATAACCAAAAAACTCGACAGTTTTGGGAAGAAATGTATGATTAAGCTTCAAATCAGGAGCCGCTGTTTTTTTTAGGGTGGTCAACCCTGTAAGAGTTTTCACCATGGTTGTCACGCTAGTGGAATGACAACCAATTTTTTTTATCATGAAACCGACGTGATCACTATCAATATGATCGATTTACGGCCTAAAATAATGTCGTTTCAATTAATCTAATCAATAAAAAAATTAATTTGTAATTTATGTCATGATTTATAAGTTAGACGTTGATGTTGTTTTTTTTAATTCAAGTAATAAAGTTTGGGTGTTGACGTTAAATGTTGTATATACATGTAAGGTAGTGACTGGTATACTCTAGTAGTATAGTATACTCCAAATGATCTGACCGTTAGATCTACTTCGATGGGCTCCGATCAATCTCAATGGTCGATTATTATTTTGCATTAAATTGAACCTTGGGTTTGAGTTTAGAGAATAAGGGCCCGGGGTTTATCCAATAGAGGTTAGAGTACAGTATCATATCTCAAACTCGGTTTAATTCATGGTCTAGATAGAGATATCTCACCAGAAGTACCTGAAGTATAGTATACTCTAGGAGTACACCAATCTGACCCATAAATATAAATATAAATATTTGTTATTTTGTTTGGAATGTTGTATTTTATGTAAATACGAATGTAGTAAATTATCTTCAAATATGTTTTATATATACTTAAATTCAATTGACCTTAATGGTTTTTATATTTTATTAAATTGGCATAACTGACACAAACTGGTTGTACCACTAGCCGAATCATATCACTTATTAAACCGACACAACAATAAAAATCGGTTTGACAACCTTGATTTTCACATTCGAAGTTATCGTGTCCCCAGGTTGTGGGTCGAAGCCCGAACCGTGTCTACCAACCGAACCCACTGAAAGTGAAAACTCAAAACCAAGGTTGTTAACCTGATGGTCGAACCGGTTTGACCCAGATCCGTCCATCTAAACGAGCTTCACAGAGACACAGACCTAGTGATCCTTCAGCCGGACCCGGTCACACCCGGCTGACCTGGACGGTTGGCCCGAGCGACCGGGTCAGCGGGCTGTGCACTTATGCGTCATCGTTTCGCGTGGGCCAAGTGATTGTTCTGCTGCGCGAGTTGGATAGCTGGGGGCTGGGGCGGAAGGTTCGTTTGAAAATTGGAATTTGGAGAGAGCAGGAGAGTCCCAAAACCTAGCCCCCTGCGTTCTGCCGTTCTCCCTTCTCCGTCTCGCCAGAATCCGGCCGACTTAGCCCTACACGAGACCGCAGGCCGCCGCCTGCGTTCTCCCTTCTCCGTCTTCGCCCGCATCCCGCAGCAGTGCTTCTACCCGAGTCGGCGACCTCCCACGGCTCCAGCTCCAGCGGCAATCGACGACCTTCCCTCCGCCTCAGCTTCAGCTCGCGATTCGCGAAGGAACGAGTCCGCCGGTGACCTCCCTCGGCTCCAGCTCCAGCGGCATTTGACGACCTCCTTTGGTTTAGTCCGCCTCAGCTCCAGCTCGCGATTCGCGAAGGACCAGTCCCTGCCGAGCTGCTCTGCCTCCCTGGTCCACTCTGCCTTCCCCTGCCTCCCAGTCGGCCATTGCCTTCCCCTGCTAGCGATTCGGGACTCTCTCTTGTATTCATTATTACGATAGGAAGCAGCTGCGCCTCGCATTGCTGAATAAGACCCTGGCTTTTCCTGTTTTATTCGGTTAGTAAAGGCTGTTTTTTTTGTTGCTCTGGCTCTGCATTTGCACTTTGGACCTGGGTTTCTTGTCTTCCTTTTATTCTTCTTCCTCCTTATTCAGATGCTTACTTCCAAACTTTTCTTTGCACCCATAGATGACGGCAGTAGCGCACATTTCATTCGGATTATTGCCCAAGGTTACATTGTTTGGTGATAGAACGCCAGCAAAAGCTGGATGCTTTCTACGGAGGCGCCGCTCTTCTTCTCTAGTGGTATTAGCCATGTCCACCAGCAGCAACAGCGGTGTCCCAATCATGGTATGCCTGTTTTATTATTGACTGTTCCTTCTTAGGTTTATTGAACACTTAATCTTAACGTCTGAGGACCGTGGCTCTGTTTACTAGTTGTTAGATCCATTGGAAAACTTCGTGTGTGTATTCAAGGTAGAGCTGGATTCTAAACATAATCTGACTGTGCCCTTCCGGGATTCCGATGCCTGTGCCCAAGTGACAATTTTGCTTGTCCTGGTCTTACGAAATCCAGCAATTTTAATTAAAGCAAATTCCAATTTCAGGTAAATAGCTGTAGCGGAAACATGGGGAAGGCTGTCATTAAAGCAGCAGATTCAGCTGGGCTTCAAATTCTTCCCCTATCATTTGGCTCGGAAGAGGAGTCTGGACATGTCATAGAAGTTTGTGGTAGAAGTATTGAGATTCATGGTCCTTCCACACGAGAGGCTGCCCTTGCCTCTACCTACAATGAACATCCAAATATGATTGTCGTTGACTATACAATTCCTGGTGCAGTGAATGGTATCACACGCCTACTTGTGATTTCAAAAGTTCATTTCTAAAAGAAAACTATATACGACATTGCTAGAACAATCACGTTTGTCCCATTGTTATAGTTTCAGTTTGCTGAATCCCTTTGAGATTTGCAGATAATGCGGAGACCTATTGCAAGGTTGGTGTGCCTTTCGTTATCGGAACCACAGGTGGAGACAGGGATAGATTGTACAAGACTGTTGAGGATTCAAAAAATTATGCTGTGATATCCCCTCAAATGGGGAAACAGGTGATTTTGAGTTCCATATCTACTTTACTGAAATATATGCATGTACCCTTTTAGCATGTCATGGTAAAGGGATATTTGTGGCAGGTAGTTGCGTTTCTTGATGCTATGGAGACTATGGCTGAAAGGTCACCCGGTGCTTTTTCTGGCTATAAGCTTCAGGTATGCCTTCATTTATGTTCAATTTGGTAGAATCAGTTGCTTGTTGCTGGCCATAATCGTAATCGTCTGCAGTTGTACTCCTGTTCTTTGGAGAAGTTCGCTTCCAGGCTTTAGGTCATGATCAATATCATATGAAGAATAGTGGTCCAATTCTCATTATTAAAAAAAAAAAAAAAAGAATAGTGGTCCAATTCTTCAGGCCATTTTTTGTCACCCCATAATGAAATAGTGCTAAAGCATGTTTTTCCAATAGGGTTGTAGGAAGTTGCACATCTTCCAATTGACACATTCATTTGTTGGTTTCCACTTTTCATTTATCATATCCATGGAAATATGATCATAAATTCTACAAAAGAAAAAAATGAAATTTGTTCATAATGGTTGTACATATTGATCCTGAAATTTAACTTTCAAGATTCTGTTATTAATGCATGATTTGTTCCTTGGATATAACAATACTACTCTCCTCTCTTTATCAGGACAGATGAAACTCAACTAGCTCTTACATCTTCCCTTAATGCAATTTTCTTGCAGTGGCTCGAATCTAACTTGCAACTCATGTCATTACATTCAGGTGATGGAGTCTCACCAAGCAGGAAAGTTGGATGTCTCTGGAACTGCTAAGGCTGTAATATCTTGCTTCCAGAAACTGGGAGTGTCATTCGATATGAATGATGTATGCTAATCAACTTGTTTAAACTACGTTTCACTTTCATTGCGCTGCCTCTTTAGTAACAAATGGATTACAGAAAGTCAATAAGCATCAAGCAGTCTGAGAGGAATCTTTTGTCTTGACCTTTCTTCAGGTACAATTGATTAGAGACCCGAACCAACAAGTTGAGATGGTAGGAGTTCCTGAGGAGTATCTGTCTGGTCACGCTTTCCACATGTATCATCTGACTTCACCTGATGAGACGTAATTCTTTGCTCCCTCTCATATCTACTCTTCATGTGCTCTACTTTTTGTTATCTCATCTAAGGATAAACTAAAACATGGTTTCTTTCAAATGCAGAGTTTCCTTTGAGTTTCAACATAACGTATGCGGTAGGTCGATATATGCAGAGGGTACTGTTGATGCCATCATCTTCTTGTCAAAGAAGGTTTGTAAATATAATTATGTCACGGCGAGGTGATTTGAACAAAGTAAAACTCTTGATTGCTTACATTTTCCCTGGGTTTTTGAAACTCTAGGTTATGTTGAAGGCAGAGAAGCGGATCTACAATATGATTGACGTACTGAGAGAGGGTAACATGAGATAGATAGACTGTTTGGATAACGGAAGGAATAGTTTAGTTAGTCTCTGAAGTTTTGATCCGCACCAATGAAGAACTGATGTTAACCAACGTTGTAATGAGGAATTGCATCCCCAAGATTGAAGGCATGCGCAGAGCTATTTCAACCTTGAAGCTGCGGCAGGCATGGAGGCTATGGTGATTTAGACTTTTAGCATTACAAATTCAGAATCTGGAGTCGAGAGAGACATTTGTTGGATATTCTTCTTTGTTTTGGCGATGGTGAACTTTTCAGGCAATAAGATGTTGGAGTGTACAATAGAATTGTCAATTCACAATGGAGGAAGTCAAGAAACAGTTCGAATTTTTAGTATTTCAGTGCCAATCAATCCTTGATTTTTTGGGTCTTCCATGCGCAAACAGATCGTTTTATTTTCCTTTCCAAATCTCGAATGCTGATCACATCCTCATAAACAACCAACAAGATGACCAATAATGGGATACATGCGTATAGGACAGCTAGATGTCACCACCAATTTCAGTTTTTTGTTTTACAAGTTTTAAGTGTCAATGGTTGCGACTTGCGAATATGCAAAGTCATTAGCGACCGTAAATGGCTTCAAATCACACCTGGCTCTAGTTCAACTCGTTTAGTGAGCTCAAAACTAGCTATGTAATCACTTACAAATTATATCTACTACGAATATAGCTAAGTAAAACTCAATTCAAATTTGACTTTTTTATTGACGAGCTAGAGCTTGCGAGCCATCTGAGTGTTCAACGAATATAGCTGCTACGTTTAGTTGTAGCCCTAGATGAGATTACTGAATTGATACACAATGTTATGGATACACATAACACAACATAGCTGCTATCATTGGCTTATCAGCAACATTAATGACTTCCAGAGCAGACTAATTCTTTTCCAGCTGTGCCAACTGCCAACCTTGGAGCTTCAAAGTGGAATATGAGAGACCATAGCAGCCTAGGCCACAGTTCGCTAAGTCCCCACCTGTGTTTCTGTGTTCTGGATTACGATTATGGATGTGGGATTGCAGCCCTCTACTGAATAAAAACCATTGGCTAAAAGCTTGGAAACGTGGCAACTGTGAATTGACAAATCACAAACATTCCCTCTACCTAAGCCCCAACCTGATTGCACTAATGAGTGATCCCTATCGAACCCTTTCACCTTCAAATAATTCTCCCTCTCTCTCTCTCTCTCTCTGCCCCTGCTACTGTGCAAGTACAGGGACAGGAAGAGTTGAAAAGAAGACTCAACGACTAACTTGGCCCAACTCTTCAATTGCAGCCACTGGTTTGCATTTCACATTTATGAGCGGGTCGATCATTCATTCTTCTTTTCCCCACAGATGTGATTCAGGAAACGAAGGATCAGCCATCCTTCATCCATCCACCTGCATTATATAAATACAACATTGTTATAGTATGGATGATTACACTGCTGCTAGAGGAGGGTGGTGGGTTCAGCAGCTATACCCTCATCAACAAGCCTTCTTCACCATCACAACGATGAACAGCGCCAAACTCAACTCCCTGCCACTCGTTCGAAGCCAAAGCTCCTCTTCCTCCTCGGCCTCAGGCAGCAATTCCGACGATGATGGTCCTCAGCAGCAGCAGCGACAGCAGAGCATAGTGGTTCCGTCCAATGGCATCGCTGCTGCGCTAACTGAAGCTATGGATAACAAAGATCAGACATGGTAGGGAACAGCAAAACCAACTAAACATAACTCTTTTTTCGAAGTCTCGGCTTCTATAGCGTGCTCCCAGTAAACTAAAGCAGCGCATCGTCATCTGTTCATATGTTTTACGATCTTTCCAATGTGTTTCTCTCACTCAACCCATACACTTCAGTCCTTTCTAATCGTCCAAACTCACGCAGGTCAATCACTCCTCAAATCCCAGCAGATTTATCAGTTCAAGTGCAAGAGGCTACATTCACTGTTCACAAGGTAAATTCATTCAACTTCGGAAACTACAAATTAGCAACACTTGGTCATGGCTATGCATAATCATACCACCTCCATATCTCTATCTATCACCATCTTTCCTACCGTTATGCAACTACAACGAATATTTACATGCAAGTTATCAGAGATTCAATTAGGCCTGGAAAGGATCTCAAATTATAAGCAACAGTTAGGTTCACCACTCTTGTGCCCCTAATGCCAACACCAACTTTGTAAGCCTTCCGCATGATAAACAGTGTATTAGTACCATACTGAGAAGATCCTGTCGTCATTGAGGGTAAAAAAAGCCACAAGCTTAACATGATAATTTTCTGTCAGATTGGACCCTTTTTTTTACCTAAATTACTCACTTAAACTAAGTCTTTTCTGCAAAACAGTACCCCTTGGTATCAAAATGCGGCTACATAGGGCGGCTCGAACTTCAGCCTTCAATTTCAAACTTTCCCTATGAAGTCAAGCTCGAAAACTTCCCAGGAGGACCAGAAGCATTCGACGCCGTTCTAAAATTCTGTTATGGCCTTCCCCTAGATTTGAACCCTCAGAATATAGCTCAACTTAGGTGTGCATCAGAGTTCCTAGAAATGAGTGAAGAGCTTGAAGATGGGAATCTAGTCACAAAGACAGAAGCTTTCCTCACATTCGTCATTCTCTCTTCATGGAGAGACACAATCACCGTCCTCAAATCCTGTGAAGCCCTATCTCCATGGGTAGAAAATCTGCAAATTGTTAGGAGATGCTGCGACTCGATTGCATGGAAGGCTTCAAGAGACAATTTGACAACTACTGGGGAACCAGCAACAGCTAGTGACGATGCATGGTGGCTGGATGATGTGGCTACCCTCCGCATCGATCATTTCACGAGGGTCATAACAGCAATTAGGGCAAAGGGAGCAAACCCAGAGGTAATTGGCAAGTGTATAATGCGCTATGCATCAAGATGGTTATCGGGAATGGATGATGAATTAGAAGATGTAAGAGGCTACGCAAACCAGGGGAAGAATGGGTTGCAGTTCAGTGTACTAAGTGGGAGGAGAAAGGAAGATCAGAGTGCTGGAAGCAACAAGGAGAAGAAGGCTATCATTGAGAACCTAATAAGCATCTTGCCTCCTAAAAAAGAAGCTGTACCATGTAGATTTTTATTGGAGATGTTGAAGATGAGTATTGTTTATTCTGTATCGCCAGCTTTGATCTCACAGCTAGAGAAGAGAGTTGGGATGACATTAGAGACGGCCACTGTGAACGATTTGCTGATCCCTAATTACAAAAATGAAGATCAAGGGAAGCTACTAAAGTAAGTTATCCTCACACCATTTTCCTTGTTCCCTAATGATACATATATTATCGATGGACTCTACACTAATTCACATTACTTGTTGCACAGATCACCTGACCAACAACGCACAATGCACAACCTAGATGTGGTACATAGAATCATAGAGTATTTCTTGATGCATGAACAGGATCAGCAGCAACTACAACCAACGCCAGGGAAATCAAGTGTCAGTAAGCTTCTAGACAGCTATCTAGCTGAAATTGCCAAGGATCCGAATGTATCTGTCATCCAATTTCAGGTCTTGGCTGAAGCACTGCCAGAAAATGCTAGAGCATGCCATGATGGCCTGTATAGGGCCATTGACACCTATCTAAAGGTTCCTTACTCTTTCACTTTCTTTTAGTTGGTACGACGACCAAACAACATATAATCATACAAAAAGATATTTTGCTTTCCTTTTCCAGACTCATCCTTCACTCTCAGAGCATGATCGTAAAAGGGTTTCCAAACTAATGACTTGTGAGAAACTATCCATGGATGCCTGCATGCATGCAGCACAAAATGAAAGGTTGCCTCTAAGAACCGCAATTCAGGTATTTTCTAAACTCCTACAAGATACTTAATATTAGAAATGAATAAAAGTAAGAGAGAAAGCGTTTTGGCAGGTTCTGTTCTCTGAGCAGATAAAATTGAGGGCAGCAATGCAAAGAAAAGAGTCAGCAGCAGAGAGTGGCAATATTTCAGAACAGGAGACACACCAAACAGAAACAAAATCGGAGATCATGACACTTAAAGCAGAACTGGAGAATGTTAAGACACGAATGGCAGAGCTACAGAAGGACTACGTGGAACTGCAGCTCGACTATGCTAGGTTAAACAACAACAAGCAGAAACAGACAGTATCTTGGAACTTGGGTTGGAAGAGAATAAGGACATCCTCTCTGTTCCAGAGGAAAGCAGATGGGGAAGAAATAGAAGAAGGAAGGAAGAGATCCAATTCCACAAGCCGTAAACCCAGCTTGAGAAGAAGAATGTCCGTTTCCTAGAATTTGAAGCAACATGCCAAACATGCAGAATGAAACAACAACCAGAGGCTCAAAAGTAATTTACTGTCTAATATGAACTCAATTCGACCCATTTGGTTCTTCTGAAGGGAAATGGTTAGATAAAAGTATCAAATTGGGTCCTCATTTGCATGTAATCATTTGAGTCATGCCAAATAATATGGCCAATGCTATTGTTTCTCATGTGCTAGATTAAGCCATAGAACCTGTATACGTTTCGAGGTATTAGCAATTTCGCAGCTCAAATTCATTTTGAGAGAATGATAGTCATTGCAGTTCACCACATTTCCATGGTGTCAAGCATCAGTCAAACAGCAGGCTATCATATGGCCAGATAATCGAGTGAATTCATATCACGATTCCAGTAAGAAAACAAAGAAAAGCCCTAGAAGAAACAGCAAGTCATGGCAAAAACTAATCTTATTCATACGCCTTGAATCGCACTAAGAACTTCCCAACAATTAAGTTCAAGAAACCCTAATTGTTCCGAAATGAGGTAACAAAACATACCGAACTCCTACCTACCTAGAAGTCCTCATGCTGCTCCAAGGGAACTTGAGCTTCTCCGCCGTGGCATCACCACGACGCCCCTTGTACCCTCCACCGCCACCGCGGCCGCTCACATCCCGATCCTTCTCCTCTCTCCTCCCGTCGAGCCAATGCTTCTTCCCACCACCATCCTCCACGACTTCCCCAGACCTCTGCTGCTTATTCATCCTCTCCTTCTCCTGCTCGACAACCTTCAGCGGGAACAAATCGGGAGATATGGAGAGCGGGGTTTTGAGGGTGACGTAGGCCTTCTTGTAGTCAGGCTTGGCGAACAGAATCCCGCCGCGCTTCTTCTTCTTTCCCTCCATGTTGAGCGTGCGGACCTTGTCGACGTCGAAGCCGTAGAGCGACTCCAAGACACGCTTGATTTCGATTTTGGAAGCGGAAGGGACGGTTTTGAGTGCGATCTCGTTGATGTTCTCGTAGGTCTTGGGCATTAGAAGCTTGATCGGAAGGTTTGCAAAGTGAATCACTCTTCTCCCCAACCTGCTCCCCATTTCTTCCTCTTCTTCCTGCTACTTCTTCTTCTCCCAACTGCGAGTGTCGCTTGCTTTGTGTTCAAGCTCAGCTGAGCGGCTATGGCGGAAATACTAGGGAGGGAAAGGGATTCCAGTAGGAAGGAGTGGCGGAAGTAGAAATTGGGCCTTGGCCCAGTTCAAATTGGGCCTCTCAGTTCAGTATCGTTGTGGCTTTCGCGCGGAATCACTCAAGCCCACTGGGGGAGTAAAAGCGGTTATTTTCAGTTACTTTTAACTTACCCAGTGGAGAGCAGAGGGGAAAGAAAGATTATGATAAAAAAGCGAAAAGGAATTCAATTCCGAATTCATTCTTCTTTCCGCCATTGCCACCGCTGTAATCTGCATCCTTGCCCGTTGCTAACCTCTTGCAGGAGGAGAGAAAGACAAGGGAGGACCAATTTGATGGCGGGGAGAGTGATAACGGTGGCGCAGGATGGCACCGGCGACTTCACCACCGTGCAGGCAGCAGTGGACATTGTCCCGTTAGGGAACAACTTCCGAACAGTAATCCGAATTGGCCCAGGAGTTTACAGGCAGCCTGTGTACGTTCCCAAGACCAAAAATTTCATAACCCTTGCCGGTTTGCGTCCGGAGGACACCGTACTTACCTGGAACAACAGCGTCTCCAGAATCGATCACCACCAGGTACGAGCCGAAATTTGCAGAACACCCCCTAATTCATAAACCTTTCATTTTCTAATCCTGGGGCTTTGGTTGCAGGGGGAAAGGTTGATTGGGACGGGGACTTTCGGTTGTGGGAGTGTGATTGTGGAAGGAGAGGATTTCATTGCTGAGAACGTCACTTTCGAGAACTCCTGTCCAGAGGTAATGCTGTTTCCAACTGAACTCTCATGTCATTCTGATTTTTGTCTAGGTTTACTTAGTTACGGATAATATCAGTGGGGGTTTTGGTTGAGGTATAGAGAGTGGAGCTTTTAACTTGAGGGGTTTTGATTAGGCTCTTCTAGGTTCAAACTGTTCTATGCTCAGTTAATCAAATCGTTGTTTTAGCTAGCTTTAGTTTAGAATCTTTTGGTCTCAAATTGCATATGATTACGAGGGTTTGTTTAGTGAAGCTGAAAGTGAACCTTTCTGCTATGTTTGATGATTTATGCTTGAAGTTCTTCAGGTGTTCGTTTAGTCTAGGTTCGTTTATTCTATATCTATCTTTTGTTATCAGGGTTCAGGCCAAGCTGTGGCACTCAGAGTAACAGCCGATCGATGTGCCTTCTACAATTGCAGGTTTCTTGGGTGGCAGGTGGGTCAGAGTGACTCTCGTTTGTTCTGTGGTTGTGGAAGATATCCTAAAGTTTGAAACTTTTACCTCCAATTAATTATGCGTAATAAGTACGTGTATCGATTTCGCCGGCATATTTGTGCAGGACACACTGTATTTGCATTATGGGAAACAGTACCTGAAGGATTGTTATATTGAAGGAAGTGTGGACTTCATTTTCGGAAACAGCACTGCGCTCCTTGAACATTGCCATATCCACTGCAAATCAGAAGGCTTTATTACTGCACAGGGACGAAAATCTTCTCAAGAGCCAACTGGTTATGTGTTTTTGAGGTTTGTAGTTCACTGTTTATAAAATATTTTCTCTGTGGTGTTAACATCTCTGCATTGGCTGAGGTCCCTAATCATTCTATTATGTCGAATGTGTAGTTCATATTTCTCACTTGCCATAAGCTTGTATTGGTCCATAGTTCTGGTCGTGGTTGTCATCCTTCGACCAATTGGTAGCAGCTGCTATCACCGAACCATATGTCTCACCGTGACATCACTCATGCCTTGGGTACATTGGTCTCTCCATGACAAATCTCTGTCTTTATGCAGATGTGTGATCACTGGGAACGGGAAGGCGTCATACATGTATCTTGGGAGACCATGGGGGCCCTTTGGAAGGGTAGTTTTTGCATACACTTACATGGATCAATGCATCATACACACGGGGTGGAACAATTGGGACAAAGCCGAGAATGAGAGAAGTTCTTGCTTTTATGAATACAGGTAGACCCCCATAAGTTTTCTTCATCTACATCTCTCCATTCTCCTTCCAAGTTTCAACCTTATAACGCCATCTCATGTTACTCATTGCATAAAGTGATTACGTTTACTGTCATTGCAGGTGCTATGGGCCAGGTAGTTGCCCTTCAAAACGAGTTGGGTGGTGTAGAGAGTTGATAGACGAAGAAGCTGATCAGTTTGTGATGCACGGTTTCATCGATCCAAATCCAGAAAGGCCCTGGCTTGCCCAAAGGATGGCAGTGAGGATACCTCATTCTGCCTAGCTTATAAACTGTAACATGATGTTCACTTGTTGTGTGATCGATACATGCCGCAGGCTAAGGGAAACTCGTACCGTTTGAGGTCCTTGGAACTTTAGTGGAAATAAAACGTAGCCAAATAGGTGGGTGGAAGTTGTTGCTTGCTGCACTACAGTAAAATTTCACAAGGCATGTATTGGTAGCTTGAGCAGATTCCCTCCTAGGATTTCACTCAAGGGTGCTGCCTAAATCTTGCTTCCGAACATCATGATGTATCATATAACTGGCTTCTTGGTTTTGGTAATGAGAAGTACGTTGTTTAATACTTAGAAACTTGCTTCCTGAAGTCTGCTGTCTGAGCAGCTAATGATTAGAGTGTTTGCTTTCTATCGGCAAAATGTTGCCGGCCAATCAACTCCGTTCTCTAAGCCTCTTGCAAAAGATTTTCAATTAAGATGGGAAATTTATTCACAGATTTGGATTTAAAGTGGTATTTCTCTTGCAATAGCTTTCAGTCTTATCATTACCTTTCATCATTCATGACTATTGGGAGATTTTGTGGTAGTCGCAATCTTCCCGATCTCCCCAACCCCAATTAGGCAGTCCAACTTCCTGTGGGTCTGGCCTATAATCCTCACAACATTTCCGTTTCCATATTTCAGAAGTCCAAACAAATTGACAAGTGGACGAAACGAATTCTTCACTGTTATCTCTTGTTCACCTGAGAATGGAAAAAGAATGGGAAAGAAAGCAAAAGCAGAGACCAGAATAGGGGAAAGGCTGAGAAGCAGAGGAAAATGAGTGAAATTGCAGCAGCAGCAGGAGGTTCCTTACTGTCTAGTGTCCATTAAACCGTATCGTACCGACGGTTCAACAACGAAATACCAGTATCGGAGGCTAAACCGATATGTGGTATATACCGGTATAACAGTTGAACTACGATTAAACCACGGTTTTACCATAAAATACCCTAACGCTGACTTTCCCGGTACGGTCTCCGGATCGGTTTCATGGACCAAAACTAGAAGGAGCAGCAGAAGTTGTATATTGTCAACTTTACCATCGTGGTTGATAGAAACCGGGGGTGAGAGGGGTGAGGACGGGTCGGCCGACCTGGCCGAGTAGGAGTGACCATTTTGTTATTTTCCATTGAACTCATAAAAAGGGGTTCTGTACACTCATTTTGGAATTAAGCAAGAGAATAACAGAAATCCCTAATTCTATCTTTCTCCGGTTCTTCCCCAATCCTCACAAATCCCTAATCTTCTTCTCTTCAATCCCTAATTCCATTCTTAATCCCTTTCTTCTCAACAAGCATCTATCATTTAGTATCAGAGCCCTCATGAGTACTTCGAAACTCACTGATCCAGCATGGGCTCGTACGAGGCAGCTGATAGAGTTCACGTTATCTGAACTCAAGCGTGAGGCTCAGGAACGCGGGTGGACAGCAGCAACAGCGGAAGAGGCGGCCGATCCGTCCGCGGTGGTCCCCGTACCGTCGGGCCCGACGCGGCGCGCGAGAGAGACGGCGCCCTAGCTGGCGGCATGAGCACGCGATGGGGGCGCGGGGAAGGAGGAAGGCGCGCGGCGAGAGGTGGCCGTGGCGGCGGCTGGTGGGCGCCGCGGCGAGCAGGTCGGGGGGCGCGACGTCGATCGGCCACCATGGCGGCAGCGAGCAGGGGCAGAGGGTCGGCGACGCCGTCTCTCTCTCTCTACACTCAGCGACCGGACTGCCTACGCCAGGCACGCTGCGATTCCAGGCTCGAGTGGGTGGGGTAACTGCGCTGACGTTGGTGGATAGCGGTGCCTCGCTCAATTTCATTAGTGCAGAGCTTGCCAAGACTCTATCCATGACGCCGAGTACAGTGGAGAAGGTGGTGGTTTGGGTGGCGAATGGGGCGCCTAGGCAGTGTACCACGGCTTATCGAGGGCTTGCTCTGGAGATTCAAGGTTTGCCAGTAACTACTGATTTCTTTGTGCTGCCCATCAGGGGATTTGATATTATCCTGGGCATTCCTTGGCTGCAGAGTTTGGGACCGACTACCACCGATTGGAAGAGCTTGACCATGCGGTTTAAGTTGAGGGATAAGGAGTGGAGCTTACAAGGGCTTACCACTGCTCTGGGGCCCATTTCCATCCATGGTAGCGCCGAGATGGGAGAGGCGGACTTCGCCGTGCTGTGCTGGCCGATGGAGACCAGGGAGACGCAGGAAGTGGCCCCAGACCTGCAGCAAGTCCTTGACAGGTTCGCCGTGAACTTCCAGGCACCGACCACTCTCCCGCCACATCGCCAGGTGGATCACGGTATTCAGTTGAAGGATGGGGTGGAAGCTGTTAATGTTCGACCCTACAGGTACGGTCACTCGCAGAAGGAGGAGATTGAGCGCCAGGTTACTGAGATGCTGACCATCGGGCTGATTCGGCCCAGCACTAGTCCTTTTTCTTCACCGGTGCTTCTGGTCAGGAAAAAGGATGGGACCTGGCGGTTCTGCACTGACTACCGGGCTCTCAACGCCGCGACAATGAAGGACCGTTTCCCGATTCCGACGGTGGATGACATGCTTGATGAGCTGCACGGGTTCTCTTATTTCACTAAGCTCGACTTGAGGGCTGGCTACCACCAGATCCGGATGAGGGAGGAGGACGCACACAAGACAGCTTTCCGGACCCACAACGGCCATTATGAGTACCTGGTAATGTCGTTCGGGTTGTGCAACGCTCCTTCGACCTTCCAGGCAGCTATGAACGACATTTTCCGGCCCCTGCTTCGTCGGTACGTCCTGGTTTTTTTATGACATTCTTATTTACTGCCCGACATGGGAGGCCCATTTGCAGCATTTGCAGGCTGTGTTTGAGATTTTGCAGCAGCACCAGTACTACCTCAAGGCTTCGAAATGTGCCTTTGGAGTCCAGAAGGTGGTACAGGTGGGGCACATTGTCACACCTCAGGGGGTACAGGTGGACTAGAAGAAGATCCAGGCCATGGTGGAGTGGCCAACCCCGACCACTGTCACTGAACTGCGAGGGTTCCTGGGCTTGACAGGTTATTACCGGAAGTTTGTACAGGGCTACAGCATGATTGCCCGGCCCTTGACTAATTTGTTGAAGAAAGGCGGGTTTGTGTGGAATGAGGAGGCCGATGCGGCATTCTGCCAGCTGAAGCAGGCCATGACCACCACCCCGACACTGGTTATGCCTGATTTCTCCCGACCCTTTGTTATTGAGGCAGACGCATCTGGACGGGGCATTGGAGTAGTGCTATCACAGGATAGGCACCCGGTGACCTTCATGAGTAAGACTCTGGCGCCATCTAAGGAGGCTTGGTCCACCTACCAGAAGGAGATGCAGGCTATCATTACGGCGGTTCAGATGTGGCGACCATACCTTCTGGGACAAAAGTTCCACATTTACACCGATCATCAGAGTTTGAGGAATTTATTGGAGCAGCGAGTTTCCACTCCCGATCAGCACAAGTGGGTCTCCAAGCTCCTAGGATATGATTATGAGATTCACTATCGGCCCGGGCCATCTAATGTCGTGGCGGATGGACTATCGAGGCGTCCCGAGGGTGAGATTTTGGCGGCAGTCACGGGACCAGTACCGCAGTTTTGGGACGCTCTGCAAGCTCTTACAGAGACGGATGAGTATCTGCAGGGATGCCGTGAGATAGCGGTTAGCGCCGAACCCGACCACTACTCTTATCGGCAGGGGCTGGTGTTCTTCCGAGGGTGCGTGGTGCTTCCCCGGGGGTCGTCCTTGGTGACGACGGTGTTACAGGAGTTCCATGACTCTCCGTTTGGAGGGCATTCAGGGGTGGAGCGGACAATGAGGAGGATTCGGACACAGTTTTATTGGCCCCAGATGGGCCGGGATGTGAAGGACTATGTCGCATCTTGTGACACCTGTCAGAGAGTCAAGGCATCCCATTTGCGACCAGCGGGTCTCCTGCAGCCATTACCGGTACCGAAAAGGGTATGGGAGGATATCTGTATGGATTTTATTGTCAGGTTGCCACCATCCGGAGGGAAGACGGTCCTGTTTGTCGTCGTGGATCGACTGACGAAGTATGCCCATTTCATGGCCCTGGCACACTCGTATACCGCTCGATCAGTGGCTGAGCAGTTTGTCCTAGGGGTGGTACGGCATCACGGATTTCCAAGGTCCATTGTCGCGACCGGGACTCCGTTTTCTTGAGTCGCTTCTGGCAGGAGGTGTTTGCGTTGGCACGGACAACGTTGAGGATGAACTCGGCCTATCACCCGCAGACTGATGGCCAGACGGAGGTGGTTAACCGTTATTTGGAGCAGTATCTGCATTGTTTCACCCATCAGCAGCCACGACGGTGGCTAGCCTTATTACCATGGGCCGAGCTATGGTATAACTCTACGTACCATAGGGCGATCCAGATGACACCGTTTGAGGCTCTGTACGGGCGTCCTCCACCTTCTCTGGTACGCTACTAGGGGGGCTCCAGTCCAGTGGACGCAGTGGATCGATGGTTAGGAGCGCGGGATGAGGCCTTGGATCAGCTCAAGGCTAATTTGGCGGCTGCCAATAATAAGATGAAACAACTGGCTGATGCAGGACGACGAGAGGAGGAGTTTGAGGTGGGTGACTGGCTTCTGCGCCGTCTGCATCCCTACAGGCAGGCTTCTGTATTCCAGCGGACATATCAGAAGCTGGCGGCGCGGTACTTTGGGCCGTATGAGGTGCTGCAGAAGATTAATCTGGTAGCCTATCGTCTTCAGCTCCCAGCAGATGCGCGCGTTCACTCTACCTTTCATGTGTCCCTATTGAAGAGGTATCGCGGCGCGGCTGATCGAGTGGAGACGACTGCACCTCCGGTGTCGGCGGACGGGGACCTCGAGCTAGTTCCTTTGCAGGTGTTAAACACCAGGTGGGTCAAGAAGGGAGGATGCGTGATCGAGGAAAGCTTGGTCTTGTGGCAGCACATGGAGAGGGAGGACGCCACTTGGGAGGAGACGGCAACCCTTCGGCAGCGGTTCCCGACATTTGACCTTGAGGACAAGGTCGCTTCTGATGGGGAAGGGGATGATAGAAACCGGGGGTGAGAGGAGTGAGGACGGGTCGGCCGGTCGGCTGGGCCGAGTAGGAGTGACCATTTTGTTATTTTCCATTGAACTCATAAAAAGGGGTTCTGTACACTCATTTTGGAATTAAGCAAGAGAATAACAGAAATCTCTAATTCTATCTTTTTCCGGTTCTTCCCCAATCCTCACAAATCTCTAATCTTCTTCTCTTCAATCCCTAATTCCATTCTTAATCCCTTTCTTTTCAACAAGCATCTATCAGTGGTAGGGAGGAGGAAACAATGGCGGATGCAATCAAGATCATCAAGGAAATTCATTCACCTCTTCATGAATCACTATCTCCTGCTGTACGTTACAGCATGACAGTTCATTCAACCTCTTCTACTTGCGTTTTTTCTGTTGGATATCTTTTCTTTATGTTTTCATGGATGGGTTTAAATTGCAGGCTTCCTTTGATAGGTATCTGGAGGACAAGCCGAGGATTTTCCACGCTATGTTTCCTGACAAACAGAGAAGCCAACAGCTTAATGAGGTTGCTGTTTGATTCTTTCTAGATTTCTCTCTAATCCCCATGGAAATTGGGATAAAGTTGTAAGCTTCTTTTGTTTGGTTGGTTGGCAGGACGAGTGAAGAATCCAAATGCTGCCGATAAACTTCTTACTCTTGACAGTATGGCCAACAGTTGATGACTTGATGTGAGGCTGAAGTGCATAACTGCAGGGAGAGAGAGAGACTACCCATCACAAATCACAAAGGTTATGGAGTTCCAAATTGTAAGTGACAAACAAGTAATGCATGCATTGTGAACTGCTTTGTTATTCTGAACAAGCTCTAATTTCTCCATTCATCCAAATAAAAGTATTGTATTCAATTATCAAGTAAATTTTCTTAAAAATATTCAGTCAAGTAGTCATTCATCAAACCATATATCTATCTACAGGGGCGGAGCCAGGATTTCACGATCGGGGGGCCGAAGTTAGCTAGTACATTATCGTCAAAAGTGAAAAAATTATTAAAAAAATAGTACAAGAAAATATATTATTTATTATCATCAATATTAGTATAATAATATAAGTATTTATTTGAATTAAAAAACACTTAAATTAGAATCTAAATCAAAATCTTATGTTAATTTCTTCTGTAAAAGTACAATACTTATAAAAAAACTATAAAAATTAAAAGATTAAATTTGTTTGTAGTCAAATAAAAAATTAAATACGAAATCATATAACCAACAGAATCATTAAAAATACAAATTTAAAAGTTGAACAACTTAATTGACATTATTTAAATTGTTAAATTACCCTTTGGTCAAATTAAACCAGTATATTTAATTAACAAGCTCTAAAACAGTAAGAAACTACCAAACTCTAAAACTATACTATAAAAATTAAAAGATTAAATTTGTTTATAGTCAAATAAAAAAGTTAAATACGGAATCATATAACCAAAAGAATCATTAAAAATATAAATTTAAAAGTTGAACACCTTAATTGACATTATTTAAATTGTTAAATTACCGTTTGGTCAAATTAAAATAGTATATTAAATTAAAATGTAAGAAACTACCAAACTCTAAAACATAAACTATAAAAATTAAAAGATTAAATTTGTTTATAGTCAAATAAAAAATTAAATACGGAGTCATATAACCAAAAGAATCATTAAAAATATAAATTCAAAAGTTGAACAACTTAATTGACATTATTTAAATTGTTAAATTACCCTTTGATCAAATTAAACTAGTATATTAAATTAACAAGCTCTAAAACGTAAAAAACTACCAAACTCTAAAACATAAACATGTAAAAAACATGACATATGCAAGGTTCAAACCCAGCCACTCTCTTAGAGAGGCCATAACCCTACCGCTAAACCACCAAATGATTCATGCCTTAGTTCTGCACACAAGTGTACCTATAGATGACATCCAATTTATACGTAAATTTCCAAACTCCTATCAAACTTAACACGTGATTTCATAAATCAAAAGATAACCATGTTTGGTTTTCTATCATACAAACAACGTAATATGTTGAATGTACTACTATAAATATGTGAATTAATACACTCTTATAATGATATAGCAAAAACTAATTTTTTATATTACTGCATTAGTGGTTGATAATAGTTTGAAGTAAAAATACTAATTTACTAGGTAAAATACATTATCACAATAATATATTTATGTGATATTTTCCTACACCATAAAATTGCTAAAATATACATATATAGTTTAGTCATGTGCCACTACGATACACGATAATTTTATTTGTATAAGAATGTTGATGATGGTCATCAAAAAATTTTAACCAAATTATTTTCTTTTGAGTGAAAGTATCATTGGAAAGGAAGTCACAGGAAAATCAAGTTATATACATATCAACGAAACGAATTCAAAATTCCTCACTTATTAAAGATGATATAATTAGTTTTCCATAATACAACTCATTTTCTCATTTTATTTTTATGACATCAGTCATTTTATTTTCTAACTTCCATGCAAACTTATTAAAGATAGTGTCTTTACTTTTTTGTTTGATTCAATTCTAATTTATTTTATTTTTTATATTTGGACATAATTTCTTTCTTTGTATTGTGGGAATGAAGATAGAAAAATTGCATCAACTTAATAATCAAGTTTTGAAATTGGACATATCTCATGGTTGAAATTCAAATAATTTTTAAATAACATAGCTTTATCAATTGGATTGTATCTTCTTCCATTTAAATAGTATTTCAAAAATTTTGTACCGAAAAATGAATTAACTGTGATTTACATAACATTCATTTATATATTTTTTGTTAACATTTTTCAATCAAGTATACTTCCACAACATAGTTTTCATATCACCATGAGTCCATGATATAGCACACCTTCATGTATATTCTTTTTTCACAAAATATCGTAAATGTCATTTGTAGAGTATATTTATTTGTTTTTTATGTAAAAAATATAATATATATGAGTTCAAACGAATAAGATATAGTCTGTTAAAACTAACGTGAGAGAGGTTATGCATTTGTGTTTAATTTTAGGGTTATGTACCGAGAGTATTCAAGACAAGTTTCACAACAATTATCTTTTCTTGTGAAAAATATTGAAATGAGATTTAGTTACCTTTTTCGTATTTTGTCTTTGCCCAAGTCAACACTGTTCGCAAAATTCTCTTTTTTCGTTTTAACCTTTTTTTTTATCTCGCACAACCTTAGCTTGCATAAGATAAAAGCTTGATTCTTTGTAGTTCTAATGATGATGGACAATAAACTATGAGAAAGAACAATACTACAGCAGCCGCCAATTTTATTTTCATTGGATCTTTGGTTGTTGAATTAATATTGTATTATACATAAAAGTGGAGGATGAGTGTCTTTATAGCTAAAATTTTTATACAATTTAAAATGTTAAAGGTCAAATACAATTATAGATGTATATATTGGTAGTATAGGACTACAACTATACCTTAATTAAATGATTGTAATATGCAATTCCTCTCCTTTTCATTCATCTAAATCATATTTATTTCTTAGGTGCGTATTTATCAAATATGTGAATTTTCACTCTCGGACCACATTCAATTACATGTTAGAGTTGTACTGATATAATGCCAAAAATGTATATCCTGAAAAAAGAATTGTGTACAACAAAAGCTTCACTTTATTGTCTTACTTATTCAAATTAATTTAACACCTAACCTTTAACCAAGGTATTTTTTACTTTATCTGTTGATATCTGATTCAATTTTAAAAGTGTTAGACTCTAATTTATAAATAAATTATACTAGAAAAAGATCTCCAAGAAATATTGCATTCTACCTTTTTGCTCATAACACAAACCATAACAACTAAAAGACTTTCATTTCAATTAGCATTTACAAATTTTTGAATAAAATCAGACATAAATAAAAGAGAAATTTGTTGTCTGCCAAATCCAAAATTTTATTTAACTTTTCATGTCATGTTCATTTCAAACAAAAAAAATAGAAATAAGACAATAACATTTTCATATACTAAAACACCAATGATACAACATATTTATGTACTATTATAGTTTGAATAATGGACGTGAGTTATGCGTATTTTCAATTCAGGAATAAATTTTATCATTAATAGAGAAATTACCACCAGAAGATTCAACAACTAAGTTTGTTGATTTGTACATTCATCAAACATAGAATTGAGTTGAAAAACAACTCCATATGATAAAAGGGTAAGGTTCAAGTGTACATAATAATCTATAATGGTATCGTAGAGTTTAATTCCATTAGTGACAAGATAGGTCACTTCTCATCAATTCCTAATGGTTTCGTTAGTGTGAGATATTGAAGTTGTAAAATAATTTTGAGAGTACATAAGAATCTACAATCATATCTTTTGACTTTAATTATACTAGTGACAAGATGGATCATTATTAGAATGATGGGCAAGAGTAGTTATATGTATCAATTAGTAGAAAATTTTAGAATTTATTGAGTAGTCTACTACCACCAGCAAGTTCAACTTCTAAGTTAGTTGATTTATACATTCATCAAAGGAGAAACAAGTTGAGATCAAACGTATGGATACACGAAATCAATGAAAAGTTATGAATACCATATGATGTTGAAAACTGTTGGCCAATCGTGAATACGGTTTTCAAAATAGTGATGAAGCTATGACTATTATTATTTTACATGATCGTTACTCCTTGCCACACTAAAAAATATTATGGTAGTCCTATTATATATCAAACAAAGTTTGAATAATAAAATATTAATAAATATATAGAAAGAGAAGCAGTAACTAATTGCTATTAAAAAATAACAACAAAAATTTATTCAAACCTGTCGCCCATCGGGCGGACACAAAACTAGTTAGTTATTAGATTCGCACCTTACATTTTGTGTAACTCATAATTGAAAAGTGACATTTCAATAACTAGCTAAGATAAATAGTTTCCAAGCAAAATCTAATACATACAAACGTTTTATAAAAACACATTTGATGATAAAGAAATTGTATATTGATAGGAAAAGTTTGTTGAACTAAGAGCTTTTTAGATATAGTTGGAGGTTTTTGTACACATGTTTAGTAGAATTAGAAATTTTTAGAATAAGGACTATAAAATTGGGGATTTTCAATGATGTATGACCAGTATAGTCTAATTTATTTGTGTGTTTCATAATACCAAGACAATAAAATTCCATATGAATGGGGCCCGGAATTCTAAATCTACCCAAATTAAACAAGTATGTACTTACATATAACTATTTTAATTTATCCAAATGGGGTCCTAGGACTCCATTCCCTTCCACCTCCCTCCGCCACTGTCTGAAATGCATGAAGTCTCTCAAAGTTGCTCCCTCCCTCGGCGAAAGAGGAACATTCACGCTGAGAGAGGAAGAGGTGCAACTAGAGGTGGCAAATGGATTGAACTCATTGATTGGTGGATTGGATTAGTGGATCCATGGATTGGATTAGATTCAATGGATTGGTGGATTAATGGATCAAATGAATTGGATTCAATGGATTTTTGGATTCATGGATTGGTGGATTGGATTAGTGGATCAATTGGATTAGATTCAATGGATTAGTGGATTAATGGATCAAATGGATTGGATTCAATGGATTTTTGGATTCATGAATTGGTGGATCGATCCATAAATCCAAATAATATCCAAGTCTTGGACCATTATGTAAATTTTGAAAAGTTAAGGTCAACCTTTCAAGAGTGACATATGACAACCTTTTTAAGTAGCATGCTAGTTTAGGCCCCGACTATGAAATCGGGTGTGTGACGGCGTCAAGTTATGCTAATGAAGCAATCCCAAACCCTTATTCTCCAAGTAGTATGCCTCTTGTGGAGAATATGAGAATCAAGAAATAAAGTGGTATTTGAAAATAGGTAGTCCCATGTCCGTTCACTTGCCTGCCAATTCTCGTCTCGGGTACATGAAGTGCTCACCTCCTTGCCGCTTGCCTCATCTCTTCTGTAAGTTGTTTTCCTGCTTCTTCTAGCCATCTTTGGGAAAGCCATGCTCAAGATTATCTGAAGACCAATTTTGATGATATCGTCCAAGCTTCTGGACGCTTGTCTGCCTTGTGGTTCGTGGCTCGGACAGGCATGTGCAGCTCGCCTCGGGTGTCCAACATCAGGGAATCTCTGATCCATATCTCGTAAAACTCCTTGCAGCTACGGATGCAATTTCTCTTGCATCTCCCAGAAGTTTGTCTCGAGTGATCATCGAAGGAGATGTAGAAGTGGTCGTCCGTAAGCTCAATCTTGGTGTGGTGGAGGATTTCATTAAAGGCCCCCTGTGAGATTGTCTTATTATTCTTGAGTTTTTTTCTCATTGTACAGAATTTATGGAAGTTTTCGGGCTGCCAACTGGGTTGTCCATAGAGTGACACGTAAAACCCTGTTGTTGTCTCAGTTAGAGTTAGCTTCTTTTGACTTTGTAGGATGGCTTGTTAGTGGGATGAGGAGAGATTGTAAGTAGTGATTCTTTATAACTATTGTCTTGACCTTACTCGGAAAAAATTACAAATAAGATAGTAATTTAAAATTTTTAATAACTGAAATGAAATTTATCTTACATGTAAGTATGTAACTATTAGAAACTCACCTCTCGTAAACATGGTACATAACTTTCACGAACCACCCACCACCGACATACATCCTCCTTCTCTCTTTCCTATTCCCTCTCCCCTCTTCTTCATTTATAGTATAGTCAGACCAGATCCAACCGATCAATTAGTAGAATTTAACAGTCTATCTCGTCCTCTAATCAACTATAAGAAAGTAGTAATTAAAGGGTACTTTTCATCCTTTTTAGATCGAATTTACTTTTCAATTTTCATCTTTAGAGATTCTTCGTAATTCAATCCCCCATATAAAAATGCAAAAAGTTTCCTTTCCTTGGCTTTTTTTTTTGGTAAAAAAAAAAGGTAAAAGAAAAGGGGAAGAGAAACGAGAAAAGAGGGAGTGGAATCTCTTTTGGAGATGCAGTCAGAATCAACGGCGGTGATTGAAGAACCCCATATATATATATTTTTGATCATACCCACATTTTTTTTTTATAAAACACACAGAAAGTTCAACCTATTGTCCTATTCCATTCAGTCATCTCTATTCTCTAGCCTCCACTCTATTTCTGGCGTTCTCTGCGTGCCGCTGGCTCACTCCTCCACACTGCTCAGCTGACATTTAGCAGAGCAAGAAGAAAAGACTATCGCCGCCATGTGTGGAATCCTTGCAGTCTTCGGTTGCGTAGACAACTCCCAAGCCAAGCGCTCCCGCATCATCGAGCTCTCCCGGAGGTGAAACCCAAATCACCCATCTATTCTCCACCATTTTGCTAATTTCAAATTCGATGGTGCTATTGCGGATTGCTGCCTTCATTGTCTTCTGCATAATACTTCCTGTGCTTCGCGTTCGCCATTGGGTGTTTGCATTTTTCTGTTTCCGTCTGAACTTGCATGTACCCATTTCCGGCTTCTTCCAAGTCGTCTTTTGTCGTTTTGTATTTCGCCGGATTTCTTAGCTGCGATTGATTTGTTATTTACTTTTCCGGTTAATCGTAGGTTGAGGCATAGGGGTCCTGATTGGAGTGGACTGCACTGCTATGATGATTGCTATCTGGCTCATCAGCGGTTGGCCATTATAGACCCTGCTTCAGGGGATCAGCCACTTTACAACGAAGACAAGACTGTTGTCGTCACAGTAAGTATATTGTATTGTTTCTGTGGGGATATGAACCCTTTGAAAGAATATCATTCATTAAGTTTTGAAAGAAAAAGCGACAGAAGCATAGAGTGACAGGATAGAGCAGGACGTGATAGTTAAAACTGACCAAGTGTAATTTATTTTTACGATTAGAGTGATTTGTTAATGGCGATTTGAATGTATGACCGACATCGTGGTTAACATTGCCTGTTCATATGGTAATGTATATGCCTATTTGTTTGTTTTTCAAATGTACATGCTGTGAACTTGCCTTCAAATCGAAATAGCCGGAGTTCTGCAGGTAAATTTCACTGTTGGTGGAACAATTTGAACTTCTGCTTATCTTATGATTTCAAACTTGACTTTAAGGTTAATGGGGAGATATACAACCACAAGGAGCTGCGGGAGAAATTGACTTCCCATCAGTTCCGGACTGGCAGTGACTGTGAAGTGATTGCGCATCTAGTAAGTTCCTTGTGTTGCTACATTCTTTGTAAGTAGCTTATGTTTGATGCGCTTGCTGTTTTGCTGAGTACGGTTTTGGTTGTGGAGATTCATGTATCTTGCATTGGATTTTGCACTCTATTAGTTGTTGAATTGTTTCTTGCTCATTGTAAAGGATATAACTTTACTGTTATTAGTTTGTCCAGGAAGAAATTTCACTGTAAAAGTTTACCCCCTTTGTTGTACCCAGTTGGAGCTGTCTTACCTATAGCACGTGGCTGAACGTGTTCTCACCACTTTTTGCTTCCCTTGTCTACAGTAGATTAACTTTTTTCATTTCTCTTTACAGTATGAAGAGTATGGAGAAGATTTTGTGCACATGTTGGATGGCATGTTTTCCTTTGTTCTTCTTGATACACGTAACAAAACTTTCATTGCAGCTCGTGATGCAATTGGTATTACACCACTTTATATGGGTTGGGGCCTTGATGGTATGTTAGTCCAATTCATTCATTCAATATGATCCTCTGTTTTTTTTTCTCTTGTAAATGTTGACATACGCTTAATTAGCCTAATTCTAACTCAAGACAACGAGACAGAGGAAATGGAATTTGCATTGTTCTAAGCCATCAAAAATATTGTTTCAGGATCGGTTTGGTTTGCTTCAGAAATGAAAGCACTGAGTGATGACTGCGAGCGATTCGTGTCTTTCCTGCCAGGGCATATTTATTCGAGCAAGGAAGGTTTGTTCCTTGGATTGGCAACTTTAGAATGCTTGCATTATATACACAAAGAAAATTTTCTTACCAAATGAAAAGCACGATTATTTCTTGTCTCCTGCATCACGTTGGTGCCATTCTCAGTATGTTATTCCGACAAACTGTAGCTGAATTATATTGATGTCTGGTAAGTATCGAACAAGTGCACTATGGAGCATCAAATTCAGTACAAATAACTGATGGAAAGACTTGGGTGGAACAGGCATCCATACTATGGATATAGTATTTATACTAGAGGGTCGAGGTTCAACGTGCATGCAAGTGCATAAAATGCTTCTTTTGTGCTTTCCCATTTGAGAATGGTACCAGAAACTGTTTTTTTTTTTTGGTATGAATGCTATCAGGAAGTCTTCGAAGGTGGTACAACCCACCATGGTATACAGAAGAAGTACCTTCAACCCCATATGATCCGCTATATTTACGGGAGGCATTTGAGAAGGCAAGTTCTTAATTCATCTTAAATGCAATCTAGTTCCTGTCAACCTCATCATAAATAGGCCAATTGAGATCTTCATAAAATATCCCTACTGACCTCGTCCTTAACTGTGCTAACTTGGTATGTGAACATGCTTTGCCTCTTGAACTTTCTAGGCTGTGATCAAACGGCTTATGACGGATGTACCATTTGGAGTACTTCTCTCTGGAGGACTGGATTCTTCACTTGTTGCTGCTGTGGCTTCTCGAAAGATGGCTGAATTAGCAGCTGCTTGCCAGTGGGGAACACAATTGCACACCTTTTGCGTTGGTTTGAAGGTGATTATATTTAACTTGACACAAAATAGTTATTTATTCCAGTACATTTCACCCAATTTTTTGTCAAATTGAATTTTCTACGCTTAAGACCTGAACCGTAAATGGGATAATTTATCATTAACCAGTGTCTTAAATGTTTCTGAAATGTCGATGCCATTGGCACATTAAGATGGTGAAGCTTGATTTTTTATGGTGAAGCTTGATTTTTGTTTTGGTCCAGGCATCCTTGCACAAAGCATACATGCTTACTGATTTCTAGAGTTTGTTACCATATGACTTGGCATTGGGAATTGTGACTTGCATGGTTATTTCTTCTCTCGAAGATGCCATCTTTTTTATGTCTAGAAGAATCTGAATCAAGAAGTTTAGGTGAAAGATATAGCCAGTGCATATAGGGAGAAGGATTTCCTGAAATTTAATTCTGTAGTCATGTTTGGTTTCCACAGACTAGTTACTTGCTGATCTGATTTCGTTTTTGTTTTCTTATGTTTAGGGTTCCCCTGACCTGAGAGCTGCTAGAGAGGTAGCTGATTATCTCCACACTCGTCACCATGAGTTCCATTTTACTGTTCAGGTAATGTCTATCTCCTCCCTTGAAAATTCAAGACGAGACTGTACTGTATGATGCTGTTGTTCAAGCATAATGTCCTTTTTCTTTCTCTTCATCAGGAAGGGATAGACGCCCTCGAGGAAGTCATTTACCACATTGAAACATATGATGTGACCACTATTAGAGCAAGCACACCAATGTTCCTTATGTCTCGAAAAATCAAGTCTCTTGGAGTGAAGATGGTACTGTCTGGGGAAGGTTCAGATGAGATATTTGGAGGCTACTTGTATTTCCACAAGGCACCCAACAAGGAAGAGCTTCACAAAGAGACGTGTCGTAAGGTAATCGTTCTATTGTTTTTTATTTTAGGGATCAATTCAAACTTTTGCATAGAGGTTTCTCATTACCAAATATCTTCAGTGCCTTCGACCTCTTTCCTTAATAATATTTTGTAAATTGTCATACAGATTAAAGCTCTGCACCTTTATGATTGCTTGAGGGCCAACAAGTCAACTTCAGCATGGGGTCTTGAAGCTCGTGTGCCCTTCTTGGATAAAGAGTTCATAAATGTTGCAATGAGCATAGATCCAGAATGGAAGATGGTATGACTATTTGTTGAACCATTGATCTTAAATCTACATAACATTCCCAATTTTCCATTTAATCGCATATTTTTGCCATTTCAGTGGAGCTTATATCATCTATTATTTTAATATTTACTAACACCGAGCCTTTTGTAAAGCTTTCCTCTAACAGAGTCCTTTTCTACAGCACTTCCATAGTTCTCATATGTTTTATATTAATGTGCCGGAAGTCTGACGTTAATGTATTTCTTAGTTCCTTACTTTTACTAATGTATTGCAGATTCGACCTGACATTGGAAGGATTGAGAAGTGGATACTGCGTAATGCATTTGATGATGAGAAGAACCCTTACCTGCCAAAGGTTTGTATTTGCAGCAGTCTGACAAAAAAAATTTATTTGTTGGTGCTCTGGTCCTGCCATTGTTGACTTTTGAAATCTCTGTTGGTTGGTCTTTGGTTTTAGCACATACTATACAGGCAGAAAGAACAGTTCAGTGATGGAGTTGGTTATAGCTGGATTGATGGCTTAAAGGATCATGCGAACAATCAAGTACGTATACCAGTAACGAGAGAAATCATGTGTTCATGACGAATTGTCTCTGCATTTTGTGATAAAACTGTCTCTGGATATTTTAATTTCC